CAGCCAATACTGTCCCCCCACCCATCACTGCAGGGCTCCGTCCCAGGGGTCCTGTGCCACCCGCAGGAGCCAGGCACAAATGGCAACCTGTCTCTGAACGCTGGCTCCTTTCTAACCCGACTATCCACACACCTGCCCTATGGCCATGCTTGGGTGCCTCTGCAGAGCTCAGAACAGAAACCCAGACGCTTCCCCCTACAAGGCCCACGAATCCGTCAGAACAGCGTGCTGCCGGCACTCCCTTGGATGGAACCACAGGCACTTCTCACTCGAGCAGTGACACCTTCCCCACCGGCCCAGCCAGCTGCTTCCCCCTCACACACACCTCGCCGCCTCGGGGCCTTTATGTATGCTGACGTGTAGTCCTTTTCTGGGCACTGGGTCCCACGACCCATGTGACTAGGGTCCTCGCCTCCTGTAGGCCTCGGTCCTGGTCCCCTGACCCTGTCTGACCCGGCCTCACCACCTGCCTTCCCCACTCTCTGGGTCCCCACCGTGTCCCCAACACCCAGAAGAGGGTGTGCACACAGATCGCTAACGGACACAGTCTGAGCACGCCCGGCCCACGAGGCAAGCTGCAGACGTGGGGCCCACCTGTAGCAGTGCAGGGCTGTGAGCATCATGTGTGAAGAGTCCAGAGAGTGGATGAAGTTGGGGGGGAAGCCATTCTTCTGCTTCAGTGTGTTGGGCCTCCTGGGGAGGGGGAGGACTCAGCCACCGCTAGCCTGGTCTGACCCGGGGGCAGCCCCCAGCCCAGCACCCCCACCGGCACTCACTGGCTGGTATCCCCACTGTGGCTGAAGGTGAGGCTCTGGATCCCGCCGCTGATCTGCAGGAGCGGGGTGGGGAGGGTCAGGAGTCCCGCCCGGACAGGGATACAGGGATGCGGAGCGGAGCGGGGGTGGTGGGGGCGGGGCCGCACCTACCATGACCTTGGAGTCCCGGTGGTAGGGCTGGATGATGGGGATGCCCAGGGGCGTGACCCACTCCACAGCTGAGCCCGCGTGGGCAATGAGCCGGGCACTCTCAGTCAGCCAGTGCTGTGGACACAGGGCACGGGCTCAGGGCAGGGCCCCCGTCAGGGACAGCCCGGTGGGCCCGGGGAGGGGGCGAGGACACACCTGGATGGCCCGCGTGCCCGAGAACATCTCCTGGAGACTGTTGAACACCTGGCGCACCAGGTAGTGAGACGCCTCCCACACGAACTCCTGGAGGGGGTGCGGGGCAGCGGTCGGCGGGGGCACAGGGTGGGCGATCACCCACCCACCTCCCCCCAGGAAGACGACCTCACGGCACCCTCTGGGAACCCAGAAGCCCGGCCCCATCTTTCTTTCGGAGAGAGACGCGGGAGCCCCTGAGGCTGGGGGGGCGGGGGGGGGGGCAAGCCCCACCCCCAGGACTGCTTGCTGTCCAGCAGCTGGCCGTTCAGGGCAGGGGGCGGGCCGGGGCCGGGGGAAACCTCGACACTGCCGCGGGGCCAAGCGCCCGCCAGGCTGCGCACCTGGGGGAAGTCGCTGAGCTCCCGCAGGCGCCTCTCGATCTGCAGGCGGCCCCCATAGCGGGTGACCCCGTACACCACAGTCATCACCGTCTGCTTCACCACCTTGCGGCTGATGAACCCCTCGAGCACCTGAGCGACCCGCACGCCCCGCTTGGCGTCCTGACTGCGGAACACCTCCACCTGCGCAGGCGTTCGGGGTCAGCGGGCGGGTGCGTAGACCTTCTGCCTCCCGCCCTGCCCGGCAGCCCCTTCTCTTCCCAAGGACCCCACGGTTCCCTCTTCTGACACCTCCCTGGGGAAGCCCACCCTGACTGCCTGCTCCCGTCACAGGTGACTGGGGCCACGCGACCTGCAAATCCAGGTGTCCCCAGGACGGAGACCCCACGCGCGCCCTGGGCACGAGCAGGCGGGGACCGCGGTGCCCACCTGCGCGGCCACTCCGCTGTACACGTCCTGCGGCACGTCCGAGGGCAGCAGGTTGACGGAGGCGGCCCCGATGCTGTCGCGGCCGAGAGCGGCATAGTGCTGCAGCCCGTTACAGGAGCCGTCCTGGGGCCGACAGGGGCGGGGGGCGGGGCAACCCTGGGGATCGAGCCAGCGCTCTGGGGCGCCCCAGTGTGCCGCCCGTACCACCACCGTAGGAGGTCGCCCCGCGGGGCCAGCCACTCCCACGGGGGCCGGCCTCCACGAGGGGGACACCAGCCAAACACAGCGGGATGTGCACTAGACGCCCACACTTCTACGGAACCTCGCACGCCTCCAGCCGCGCCCCCCTGAGCCAGGCACACCCCGAGACAGGGTCCCCGCCAGCTCACCTGGTGGACCGGGAAGTGAGAAATATAGGCAGTGGGGTCGGGAGCGCGCACGGCCCGAGCGATCTCCATGCAGCAGGCCAGGGCCTGCCAGGGCTCCTCCACCTCCATCCACCACTTGCGGCCCTGAGGGAGGGCAGCATGAGGCCAGGACAGAGCCCCCCAGAACAGCGGGGGGGGGGGGGGCGCGGGGTGTGACGGGAGCGATGGGCAGGGAGGGACACCCGGGAACAGCCCCGAGCGAGCAGGAGCGGGACGGGGAAAGGTCTGGAAGGAGAGCTAACCCTGGAGGGAAGGGCCACAGAGCCGCCGAGGAACCGGGGCCAAGGGAAACCCCGAAGGAAGGCCGCCGCCAGGAGCGTGCCAAGGGAGGGGCGGGGGTAGCGGGTGCGGGGAACAGGTGGGGGAGGTGGGGGGAGGGGAAGACCCCGCCCCTACCGTCATGGGCCGGTCGGCAGAGTCCAGAATGTCCTCCATCACCTCGTCGGCGAAAACCAGGCGCGCCTGCAGCGGCTCCCGCTTCTTGAGCCCGGTCAGGTTGACCAGGTGGATCTTGAGCCAGTCGAGGCCGCGGGGGCCGAGCGGGCGGCCCTGGGCGAACTCCAGCAGGGCGCGCGCCAGGTCGCTGCCCAGGTGGTTGAAGTGGGGCGGGCAGGGGTAGGTGCGGCCGCGGAAGTCCATGTTGTGGGGCAGCCAGAAGACGCAGTGACGCAGGTGCTGCGCCAGCGAGAGGCGGTATAGCGCGTCCGACCGCAGGCTGTGCATCTCCCGGGCCACTTTGAGGCAGCGGGCCAGCTCCCGCCGCAGCTCGGCCTTCTGGGCAGGCGAGGCGTCCGGCGGCAGGCGGCCCTCAGGCGGCCGGGGCGCCTCGGAGGGCGGGGCCGGCACACCCAGGCGGGGGCAGCCCTTGGCGGCGAAGAGCTCCAGCACCAGGTCCAGCACGCGGCTGTTGACGCGCCAGGCGCAGTTGCCCAGCTGGGTGAGGGCGTCCAGGGCGCCGTGCAGCTCGGCGGGCGGGCAGCTGTCCAGCAGGCGCTGGTGCTGCGTGGTGCCCTCCACGGAGCGCACGAGCTTAGTGGGACTCAGCAGGAAGGCGCCCGTGTGCGGTGACGTCCAGGGCAGTGGTGGGCACAGCATGGGCACCTCGGCCGCCTCAAAGGTCAGCGTGTGCTCCGCTGCGGTCGCCAGCAGCTGCGTGAAGGCCGGGTGTGGCTTCAGGATCCCGATCTGGGGGCGAGGCGGGCAAAGACCGGCAGAGGCTCGATCGCCCCGAAGGACGCACGGCTGGCAGAGGGCCCCCTCCAGCCCCGGGCGTAGGACCCCAGCAGGATTTCCACAGGACCCGGCCACGGCCCCGGGGTCCCCGCGGCACCCGGAGCCCCCCGCCTCGCGCAGGGCCCACCTGGCGGAAGCTGCGGAAGGAGTACACGTGGTAGAGCACCGGTATGAGCGAGCAGGAGCCCTGGGGGGCGGCCAGGCTGCCGGGCATTCGCACCACCTCCACCAGCATCTCCGCCAAACGCTTGCCCAGCTGCACCAGCACAGGCAAGGGCCAGGGCTGCTCATGGGGGGCCTCGGGCGCCCCCAGTGTCTCCCAGTACTGCCGCGGCAGGCAGGGCACCGCCACCTGGGGACGGGGGAGTGGGTCAGGGGCTGGGGGTCTGAGCCCAGCCCTGCGCCCCCCCCACCGCCCCGGGCCTCACCTGGGTGTCCGAGGCCCCCCCCACCACGGGCCTCACCTGGGTGTCCGAGCCCCCCCCCCACGGGCCTCACCTGGGTGTCCGAGGCCCCC